GAGAGAGATCACTTTTCAAAACCTTCTTGGTTTAGGTACTACTATAATACGAAAATCCTGCTGCCGGTGAGCGGTCGCCGTCTCGTGTACAAGTTCGGTCCCTCAGCACGCGGATGGTCTTCCAATGAACCGATCCTCTTCTCCAACTGCAGCGCTAACGTCTACAGTAGCGACGAAGAGGAGATGGCAGTTGGCGAAACCCTATCAGCGTATACCTCCTTCGATGTAGAGTATCCCATCAAGTACCGAGAACTTCCGGTTTAGACCTTCTGATCTCATGCTCGTGCGAATGCATGTCGTCTGTGACACATCGCACGTGCAACAACATTCGATTCGTAGATTCTACCTAAAATTAGGCTTGATTCAATATTGTGTTCTGATGAAGTTGTTCTCGGATGTTTTGTTTTTCGTTGTGCAATACTGTCGTTTACAGGGTGTTATTGAGCAACTGCGGATATGCCTCGATTCTTATTTTTTTTTCGGAATTATCTAGTTCTATTACGTGGAGTCCAGAGTTGCTCTCACAAATACACCAATTGAGATTTCAGTAGCTTTAAGACGTTTGTTTGTACTGTCCAATACTGTTACGCACTAACGGTGCCGTCTAACACATTTCAGATAAGTTACGATATCTATATATTTTTATCCCTATCAATGAGGGCAACTACTGTAAATTCGAATCTATCATTCCATAGGGTTCTCTCTACACAAAGATTTTGAAAGTAGTTTTACGTAGTGGCTTCTTCAACCACTTGTTCGGGTTTCCTGTATAAAGTTTTTCTTCATATAAACAACGCAAGTGATATGCTAAATATTAATTGAATAAAGATTGATAACTTCTTGAAAAAAAGTGTGAAGATTGAACGATAATCTGCAACATTAAGATTGTTACTTTCAAGCATAACTTGCATAAAGAAAAGTTTTCCAGTTTTATCACGAAGTTCTATATATAAATCTTTTGTCTGCTCTTCATAAACTTGTTCGCACGAAAATGAACTTGGTTATCGGTTTTCTTCAAAAAAGATCGTGGAAGAATTATCGCTTTCGCCAAAATGTACCATAAATTTCAGCCCTCTTCTCTTCCTTCGATAAATAGTGTTGCAATAACTTTCATTTCAAACTTGTACCATGAAAAGGAAGTTAGTGAGAATGAAAACCGGTTTGTTAATTTTGTTCTCAAAGTGCCTCATTTATTTATGGTTCGTGTTGGACTTGAAGATCGCAATACTTGAACAAATAGTTGGTTTGGTCGGTATGCATTGAGAAAGTTAAGGTAAATCTCCGTAAACAGTACGAGAAAAGAAAAATGATAATAAGGATAGAACCCCTTGCAACACCTAGTAAAACATCAACAACAACATTTAGATAAAAGTCTACCTGAGTTACAGATGGATTAGCCATTGTTGCAAAATAACTTGATCATATAAGACATTTCAAGAACTGTGTCAAGTGATCTGTAGTTCACATTTAAGCCGTGCTATATTGCAGAAGGTAATGTAGAATGGAAAGGATGCGCGGTTTTCATTCTCTACTA